AAGATGGCACACATGATATAAAAGCACATTTGTGTTGATGGAGCAGGAGGGACAAGGAGAGACCCACACTCAGGCATGGGTGGTCTTTCCCAGGCTCTGAGCAGAAAGCATGGGCCACCTGATGCCTTGTGGTGCTGAGCAGCTGGACACTATCATAGTGACCGGAAGTATGGTATGGTATGGGGAGAGAGGCATAACTGTAGAGGTGAAGGCAGTAAGGAGCAGGCTGAAGTGGGTGGCTTAATTGCCACCAGGGCCATGGTGATGTCTGGGCCTGTGCTGTTGCCAGGGCCCATGTCTGGATTCATGGACCTGATGCAGTCTGTGTGAGGCCTATGTTGATGGCCTTGGCTCCTGATATCACCTGAGGCTGAGAGGATAGAGCTGTGCAGAGTTGACCCGGTCCCACACTGGCTGTAACACTAGGGAGAGCTGTACCTGCCCCTCACCAGCTGCAGCAATCTGGAGAATGGGTCCCTGCAGCTCGCCTGGGAAGCACAATGATGCGGGCCTGGTGGTGTAAGTGTAGAAGAGCTGAGCCTGAGGTTGTGAGAGCCTGAAAGCCAGCCCCTCCCCTTGCTCATAGCTGCAAGCAGTGAACTAGCTGTAGCAATGCTGGAAACCTCACCATGTTGGTGAGAATAAAGGAGAGCTGATGGCTGACCAACCCTGCAACCACCCAGGTCCAGAACCAGGGTTATGAGTTGGCTCACCCCAATATCAACCCCATCTGTGATCTGCTAGAGCACATGAAGGGGCCGGTCCTGCAGACCCAAAGCTGTAGGATCTCCATGACACAGGGCAGCAACAGGATATCCAAGAGAAGTTCCAGTGAGGGCCCAGCACTGATAGTGTAGCAGAAACAAGGCCTTGAACCAGACTAATGACTCTGCAGTAAACACGTGCAGGAAAAGATTGTGGATAAAAGGGTTCACTTCGGGACTCACTGTGTCACAGTACAGCCTACAGCTTCCTGGAATTTTAGTTCCAGGGGCATCCAGCACGTCTGGACTCCATGGGCACCACACTCCTATGTACATATCTACCCTCAGACATGCACGTGCATATAACTAAAAAGAAAACAAATATTTAAAAACTCACTTGGAACTTGGAAAGATTAAGACTAGGAAAATTAGGCAAAGACTAAGGAAGGGCCCAGGTGGAGAGACCAAAGTGACAGATGTTGTGCTGGATTTTGCAGTGGGCTCATTTCATTATTGGGATGGTTAGGGACATGCTGATGTTTGAGGACCAAGTGGCAGTGATGGATCAGTACTGATTTTCTGAGTATGATTCTGAAGAGTGTTTTTCTTTCTTGGAAATGCATTAACTAATTGGTAGTGATGGAGCACCATTTTGGCTGTGGTTCAGGAAAAAAAAAATGATTCTTTGTACTTTACAAATTTACTATGAGATAGGATTGTATTGATCTTCTTAACCCTTTTTATGTCATCTTTTTAAAAAGGTGATTTGGGGACAGGATCTCATGTTGTAGCTTCCACTATATAGACCAGGCTGTCCTTGAACTCATGGCTAGCCATCTGCCTCTGCCTCCCGAGTCCTGGGGTTGTAGGTGTGTGTTGCCATGCCCAGTTTTCCTTTGACATTCCTTTGGCTTCAGCTGTGTTGGCTAGCCTGCCTGTAAGATCACTGTATTCATGAGGACTCCTCCTAATGACCCCAGTCTTTTACTGTGTGAACCAATTTTTAATGCTTTTCCCTTGGCCTTCTCTTCCGAGCCCTTTAATAATTTTTTTTTCTAGTACTTTCAGTTCCAGACTTTTGGCTTAGTATCTTTATCTTGTTTTATCTTCTGATTTTTACAGGTCTACATTTTATCCAACTTCACTTTCTTAAGTACAGATGATCCTCAGTTACAGTGAGCTTAGGCCCTGTTAAATCCATTTTAGCTTTAAAATCATAGTGAAAAAGTGCAGTCATGGTATTGAGAATGTGGCTCGGGCTAGAGTGCTTAGTAGTGCATACAAGGTCCTTGGGTCATCCCCAACGTGCAGGAGGAGAAAGATGCACGTAGTGTACCTAACCTCTGGGCATCCTTGCTTAGGCACACAGTTGCACAGTAGCATATTGCTCATAAAGCCTTGGCTGACTGGGATAGATGGCTCTACGGCTGGCTAGCTCGTCAAGAAGTTGTTATACCATGTGTTACTAGTCCAGGAATCAGTTAAAGGACTAATTCAAGAGTAGGGTTCTTAATGAGTGTGAACTGCCTCCCTACTGTCTCAAGTCAAAAAAAAAAAAAAAAAAAAAAACTGTAACACAAACCATCTTAGGTCCCAGCAGTCTGTACTGCTTTTTCCATCAATTGAGGACCTGTCATGCAACTCAGCTTTGGTTAACCCTCAAGGCTTACTATTGTATGTTTACATTTTGTGGAGAGTGGAGTATAACTGTAATATTTCTAGAAATAACAAATGCAAGAAGGCATTATGATAGAAAATTGCAGAATTGTCTCCTCCATTGGATCAGGAACAAGCACATAATCTTGTTCTCTGAAGAAATTGTGAGTCTTGTTAGCAATAGAAAGTTACACGTTATGGAATGAATTTCATTTTGATATGCAGTTCCATGGGGGATATCAGCCAGCAACATGGGGAATATCATTTTGTCTTTCAATTTTGTGTTGAGGGTGGAATATGTATAGTGTCAGAGGTTATGAAAAAAGTTTGAACTATGTGTATGAAAAAATGGTCTTCATTTTAAAATTGCCCTGGTTCTGACATGAACTAGATACCAGAATGTCTTCAGTTGACCTGTTTAACTTTGAACAGAATGAGTGATTTTTAACACAGCAAGAGTTTACTGATGGGATATAGGCCAGTGGTATGGGGTTTGCATAGCGTGCATAAAGCTCTGTTTAAATTCCCAGAGCATCAAGTTTCCCATTGCAATTGTATTCATTTTAAAATGTAGATAAGCACACTTTTTATCTAAACTTTAAGTATATAACTTCCCTCCCTCCCCCTCCCTCTCTCTCCCTTTCCCTCCCTCCCACTTTTCCTCCCTCCCCCACCCCCTCTAAGATTAATGTTTCATATTCAAATTGTTACTGACATGCAGAAGTTCTTTTGGATATCTCAGTAGATTTCTAATCATGGGAACATTCCAGGAAGGATTATAAATAACTCCCCAAATGCTTGTCTTTGGTTGGACATTACAGATCTTTGACTTACTGAACTCTTCCTAGAGGAAGCATTTATGCTGTAAGTGAATCTCTACATAGTGCAATAGATCATGGGTGGCCAATTGACTCTTCCATAGTAGCTGAACCCAGGTCTGTGCATAATAAATCTTGACATTTAATTGGTGCTTTTAATATCATTTTTAGTTCTTTATTTTAAATGATTCTGTTTCATGAGAACATTACCATTTGGAAATCTTGGCCAGCCTACAGTCTCTGAAGAAATATAATTTAATAGTATAGTGCCAAGAACATTGTATACTATTTAATGTAAATTTTTTTATTTAGGCCCAAATATCTCATTTTAATTTTCCAGTTCTTTATTGATATCCTTTCTGCTGATTGCATTGGGTCAGTCAGATTTGAAAATTCATGTATCTTATTAGGAGCTTCTTTTTCTTCTTCTTCCCCAAGACAGGGTTTCTCTGTGGCTTTGGAAGCTGTCCTAGAACTAACACACACACACACACACACACACACACACACACACACACACGTAGCATAAAAGCCAAGAAGATGGTTGCACTTATCGGGGAAGAGGGTGTGTGTGTGTGTGTGTGTGTGTGTGTGTGTGTGTGTGTGAAAATAGATGTCTTCTAGATTATTGGCAAGATTCTCATTGTATAAACAGGTGTTAAGTATTTCAGTATGTGAATCTGCTTGTTAAACTGTCACAAGAAATGCAGCGAGCTGGACCTTTTACAGGCTCCAGTTAGGTAGAAACAGCAGTGAGATCGTCAGGTGAGCACAAGTGTGCAGTCTGAGTCTCTTCAGCCCTATCTCGTGCATCTTCTCACCCCCACACTGTGGAAGGGAAAGGTGGACTACACACTGGAATTCATGCCTGTGTAGTTTGTCATTCTCACCATGCTTTTACATGTTTCATATTTAGTTAAAGGCCAAATGGACTTATGAGTGGGGTACATACTTCTCCCTCCACCCCCACCCTGAGACAGGCTTTCTCTGTGTTGTTTTGGAGCCTGTCCTGGAACTCGCTGTGTAGACCAGGCTGGCCTTGAACTCACAGAGATCTCCCTACCTCTGCCTCCCGAGTGCTGGGACTAAAGGCATCCGCCACCAGCACCCGGCTCGGACAGATACTTCTAAGTTTTCCTTTTTGTTTTATTATGTTTGTGTGTCTGTGTCTGGGAATGCACACATGAATGCAGCTGTTTTCAGAGGTCAGAAGAGGGCATTGTATCTCCTGGAGCTGGAGTTAGAGGCAATTGTGAGTTGCCTGATAATGGGTGCTGGGAACTGTATGTGGGTCCCCTGCATGAATAGTACATGCTGTAACCTCTTCATGTTAAAATGGTGTTTTTAATTAGTGTTCTATATCTATATTTGTGTGGGTATATGCATTCTTACATGTGTGCATATGTCTGTACATACTTGATGGGTTCGAAAGTCAGTATTGGTTATGTTCCTTAATTACTCTTTACCTTTTAAGAAGGTCTTTTGTTGAGTCTTAATCTTACTGATTTGGCTAGGGTGACTAGCCAGTGAGCTTCGGGGATCTGTCCATCCCCCACCCACCCACCCACCCACCCAGTGCCATGTCCAGTTTTGTGCAGTGTTGGAGATCAATACAGGCATGACAGATAGACACTGTGATAATCCAGCAACATCCCCAGCCTCCCTACTTTCAGGATTTCTAGCCATTATTTAAGGAAATACATTTTCAGTAATGTAATAAAAATGGAGATATGTTAATAGATTTAAGGTTTTTACTAATGTTAATGCTCATTAGGTTTGAAGTAAATTAAAACTTTTTTTTTTTTTTTTTTTTTTGTCCCAGAGGCCTCTTTATTAGTATCTACGACAGAGGGCACATTGCTTCACTTCTTAATGCATGGCCAGAAGATGTTGTCAAGGTAAGTTATTGGTGACTGCACTAAGGTAATTTGCTATCTTTTCTGTCCCATGACACATTGCATAGCCACGATCTCATTGCTGTGAGCAGCATTATCAGTGACTGTCACCTATTTAATATCTCTGAATTTTTCTACAACTTATTAATTTTATTATAAGGCTATGTATATACAGTTTTCCTGTCATTTCCAATTTCTTAGTGTTTCATTCTTTATAAAGTCATTATATATGTATAATACATATGTGTATTGAACATGTAGGGCATACAGTTTCTTTAAGCAAACTCTATTATTGTACTTTCTGTGTTTAATAATCCACCAAGTTCAAGGGAGGCAGAAAAAAAAAATCCGTTAAATCATTCCTCCTTTCATTATGACCTTAAGGATCTGTGAGGAGTGTGTGGAATATGCAAAAGAAATCTCACCTCTCTCTTTAAATGTCTTTACTTAAAAACAATTTTCCAATACTTGTATTTTACAGTACCCAAAAATGTAAAACAGCAGGTCTCAGCCGTGCATTTTAAAGTGTATCTGGGTTAAGGTGTGGTGGGAAGAGTGCAGTGTGGAGGGTAGACCCGGCTTCTGGCTCCTTGGGACTGCCTAGGAGGATTATCCAGGCAAGGTAGTTTAGCGTTCTGATTTTCCATTTCGTGATCTGTGACGTGAGATGAGGGAACCGAGTGTGCTCCAGACCCCCTTTAAACACTGACTTTCTGAGCTTAGGGATGGTAGCCACATTTTCTTTCTTTTTTTTTTTTTTTTTTAATTTGAAATACAAGTACTGTGGTGAGTTCTACATATCACGATTTCACTTTATGTGCCTATGAGTATCTAGCTTACCACTATTTATTGGCTGTTTACTGAGTGCTAAATGTTGTACCAGATGCTGGGATTACAGTAGTGCGCAGACAGAACCACTCTGAAAAGCACATGTATTAGTTTGTTTTTAAACTGAGAAACAGAGGGTCTGGAATGAGGGCTCCACAGTTAAAAGCGCTGCCTGCTCTTCTTGAGATCCCAGGTTGATTCCTAGCACCCACATAATCCAGTCCAAGGGGATCCAATGTCCTTTCCTGGCCTCCGTGGGCATCAAGCATGCCTGTGATACAAGCAGGCAAAACACCCATACACATAAAATAAGTGATCAAATTTTAAAACAAGTAAGAAATAGAAGCTTAAGTTTATTGCTATTCCATGGATATTTTCAGTGCAGCATTTTATAATTTCTAATAAATTAGGTTTGTTTTAACCTATATTGTGGCCATACATTATGGAATGAAGACATTGAATGAATTAATTTTAATGCTGATATTAAATCCTGTAAAGTAAGCCCTCTACATGAGTAACATATATGATTCATTATTATTCTAAGTAAGTGGAAATAAATTAGGCAAAATTCATGAGTTTTAGGGAAAGGTCACTAGGTAATATTTTAGTAGACTGTACTGGGCATGCTCCAGAGATAACAATACAGTGTCAGGCACTTCTGGGAGTAAGAGGTCAGAGCATCTTGGAGCATAGCTGTAACTTCTGCAATACCTCATTATAGCTGAGGGGCATCTGGTGGTCTGACAGCTGCCCTATGTTTTTGTTTGTTTGCAGTTTGAGCTCTAATTTCCCATTTGTCCTCTTGATTGAAGACTACGTTATTTGGGTTGTTTGAATTTCTGTTTCTCTTCTTTTTACAGTAATATAATTAATCACACATATAACTTTGTATAATGCTCAACATATATAGATCAAACCTATTTCTCCTCCCCGCTCTTCCCTAGTGACTCTAATTAAACATTGTCATATGTATTTGATTTGTTGCCTTGTGGATCAGTGTTACTTGCAGTGTTACATCGCCTTCGGGACTAGGAAGCAGGAAAGAAGATCAACTTTTTGCCTCTTTCTTTCTTCTAGGCCGTTGTGGTGACTGACGGAGAGCGTATTCTAGGCTTGGGAGACCTTGGTTGTAATGGGATGGGCATCCCTGTGGGTAAACTGGCCCTGTACACAGCCTGTGGAGGGGTGAATCCACAGCAGTGCTTACCTGTCATTTTGGACGTGGGAACAGAAAATGAGGTAAACACCTTAAGTGTTTTAAAAAGTGATGCCAAATTTTGCATTTTGAGATTATATTTCTTGAACTTCATAAAATTCGTTCATTTTTTTTTTCTGTTGCCCCACTCCCCTCAACTCTGCCCCATCTTTTATAAAGAAATAGCCTTTTCTGTGCTTTTTTTCTCTATAATATGATTTATGGTTTATCTGCCTTAGTGGTATCAAATGCTTTGATAAGCATTATGCATTATTATTTGAAGTGCATGAATTACTCTAAGAGGCCATAGTTTCTTCCTAATTACTATCTATTAATAGATAAGGTCCTATTAAATTTAATCAGCTTGCAACTTTACTATTCTAAAAGTTTGTATTGAATCTGGGGTAGATGATTTGGAGTTCAACTTTTCTTACGTCCACATTAATATTTTAGAAGAATTCCATCAGTGTTTTAACATCTCTTATGTGTTTTTATCATGTACAAACAAAACCATATTTAGCTTCTATTTATGAATGCTTATTTAACCTTTATCCAAGGAAATATGTTGATTTAATATATGGCTTCTCTTACATTTTCTTTTTCAGTATTAATAGAAATGACTTCGTTATCAAAGCTAACCTGTTTAAAGATGCTCTTTTAAAATTCTAATGTGTACATTAAGATTTTATTTTAATTTTCATATGTTTTAAAGCAAGCTGAGATGTAACGTGTATGGTTTTTCCGCCTGCCGCCGCTGGTCTTGTCCTGCTGCCGCACCAGCCCCAAATAATGCACAGAGACTCTGTATTTGATACAATACTGTTGGCCCGGTTACTTGTTTCTTATCGGCTAGCCCTGCCTTTAATTATTAACCCATTTCTGTTGATCTATGTATTTCCACGTGGCCTCCTTACCGGGGAATGGGGCAGGCATCTGGTCTCCCCAGTCTCTCCATCTTGACTCCTCCTTCCTACTTCCTATTTCCTCCTTGTCTCCTAGTCCCTCCTATCTTCCTTTCCTATTGGCCAACAGTGCTTTATTATTAACCAGTATGAGAAACATATACAGAATGACATCTCCCATCATCTCCTCTTTTTTGTCTAAATAAAAAGAAGGGTTTTAACCTTAACATCGCAAAATATATTATACAACAGTTATCAAGTAAGAATCACAGTTAACAATATTTAGTATTGTAGTGAGGTAGTCCTTCTGTAGCACTGACCACGCCCATTGGGGGGTGGAGCGATGGGCGGAGGTGACCTGAGGAAGGAGGTCGGAGGGGGCCAGGAAGGCGCGCTCTTTCTGGCGTGGCTCTTTCTGGCGTGACTCGGACAGGAGAGGATCGGGTTGAATTTCCTGGTGTTCATCTGTCTAGGTTGTAAGTTATTTCTCCCTGAATAAACATCTATTCGGCCTATTTGTTTATCCTGACCCTTATTTACCGCAATACTGAGATGATATAAGGAAGTTAAAATAAAACCTGCAAGATCTATGATGTAACTTGAAAATTCTAGGAGTTATTGAAGAGGAATGAACACTATGAAATAAGTTTATAATAATTTGATCACTTTTAAGCCTGGGCCTTTAAAATGATTTATTTATTTTATTTATTTAGGCATTGTACATGGCTAGTACCCATGATGTTGGAAGTAGATGTCAGGCCCACCAGAATTGGAGTTAGAGGTGGTTATGAGCCACCACGTGGGTGCTGGGAACTGACCCAGGTCCTCCGCAAGAGCAGCCAGTGCTCTTAACCAAAGGGTTGTGCTTTACCTCCAGGCTCCACTGGGATCTACAGTAGAGATTTTTTTACTTTGATAGATTGCATGAGTTACCAGAAACAAACGTTCCATGAAAATTGTCAAGTTGACTGATTGCCTTGGATTTTTCACATTATCTGCTTTTACAATGCATCACATTATGTTGAAGAAGTCTGCCTGATATCAAATTTTCAGTATTTACTTCCATATTTGTCCTTATGGGTTAAAAATGTTGCTGTATTCTTATTTTTTGGCATGTGTGTATGGATATGATGTGCATGCGTGTATGTGTGTGGGAGCATATGTGTGTGTAAGTACCCATGTATGTGTGTGGCTGTGGAAGCCAGAGGTTGAACTGGGTGTTTAGTCACAATGAGGCTTTCATAATGCAAATCAGTCATGTCACTTCCTTTTGTGACAGCCTATACACTAGAGTGATCTTCAGCTCCTTTCTTGTTTGTTTAGGTAAGAATACAAAACAACAGGTTCCATCATTGTGTCTTTGTGCATACCTGACATTGTAACTTGCTCTTGTTCGTCCCCTCCACAACAGTCTCTCTCATACATACCCCTGCCCTCCTCTGCCTGCTTCCTCTTTAAGTGGCATTTTATTAATTTTTGGCACCCAAATCTCCAAATATGTACTACTTTTTCAAGAATTATCTAAATTTTCTTAATTAAATTTTATGATAAATAGAACAAACTTTCTGGCAAATACATTGTTATAGTTGAAGAATTAACATCCTATTTTATTTCAACAATTGTCTTTTTAAATAAACTATTATACTTATTTTCTCTTTTTTGCATTTATTTATTCGTGTGTGTGCATGTGTGTGCGTGCGTGCGTGTGTGTGCGTGCGTGCGTGCGTGTGTGTGTGTGTGTGTGTGTGTGTGTGTGTGTGTGTGTGTGTAAGAGAGAAACAAGACAGCCTGTGGGAGCTCTCTCTTTCCTTCTACCCTGTGAATTCTGGGAATTGAACTCCAGACATCTGGCTTAGTGGAAAATGCCTTTACCCGCTGAGCTGCCTCAATTACACTTCTTTATGTTATGTATTTCAATTATCAGTGTGGGAAAGGATAGCTGAAAAATGAAGGGACACATTTTTCCTCAACTGTGTTTTTTCTTTCTTTTTTCCTCTAAATCTCATATTTGGGGGCTAAATATATTCCAGACTTGGAGAAAGTATTTTAATATTGGCAGCCATTAGTAGCACATTGGCAGTTTAACCTTGGCTGCCCAGATGCCTGCCAGTGGGTTGTTTAAAGAGTTTTTATGCCTTAAGGAACAGCTGGGCTTTACAGCAGTCCTGAGTTTCAGGTTTTACATTTTACATTTATGTGATTTAACATGTTAGCTCCCAGTGAGCAAAAAAACCTTAACTACTTGGTAAGGCGTACATTGCAGTTAAATTGTATTGGTCGAGCCAAAGGTATTTCACAATGTGAGAGTGTTAATAATAATTATATCAGGTCAACAAGTGTGCCCTTGGCTGTGGTTTCTATTGGCTTTAGATAAACCATACTTCAGAAGATTCAAGTAGTTGAATCTTAACATCACCACACCAGAAAGAAAGTATTTGTCTGTAACAAAGTCTCTCCAAAATCATTACTGTTTATATTAATACTTATGATCCAGTAAACTGTAATTCAGTCTGGATGGATAGAAAAGCGTGGGTGGCTAGAACAAGTGTGCATTTCTCCATATAAATTCTCATTCATAAATTGTTTACATTACACACACACACACACACACACACACACACACACACGGATTTTCATCTCAGACTATAAACTTTTCATCCCAGTTCTAGATGAGGTTTGGGATTTGCATCTTAATTGTGGCTCTTTTCATATGTTCTTACATTAAGTGGTGAGTCAGGAACAGATTAATGACCAACTTTCCTAAGTAAATTTGGAGGAATAGGAGTCCCATGGTTCTAGAAGTTCCACCACCAGTAAAGCCTCCCTAGATATCATGCCACCTGTGTATGGCCCAGTGTTGTTTCCTCAGAGTGGGTTTCTGTAGCTCATGTTTTCAGGCTTTTGTTTTTTGCCATCCTGTGAGTTCTTGAATCTGACCTTTGAGGTATCCCTCCCTTTTCCTAAGGAAAGCACTTATAGGTTTTTGTTTTTTTAATTTATTTTTTGTAGTGCTTTATAGTTTCCAGTGTTAAAGTCTCACATATTTGCTGATAAATATTTCCTTGTGAATTTTGTGGTTTGGGTTACCATTGTAAAATGGAGTTATGTTTTATTTTTTCAACTGTCCTAATATGATGAAATACAATATTGTTCTTACGTCCCAGACTGTGTTAATATACATTTTTGGGTTTTGTAGATTACTGCTATTTTCTATTTTACATAGTTATGTTTATACAAATACAAAGTGGTAGTTCTTCCCTTTCCAGTCTGTATGCTTGTCTTTTTCTTGCCTTATTGTAATGGCTAGCATCTCTAGTGTGATGATGAAGAAAAGTGGTAAGGACAAATATTCTTACATTGTTCTGAATCTGAAAATAGTTAGCTATGATCTTCCATAGATATTCCTAATTTACTGAGAATCTTTGTTACTAATAGACATGTTTTACACTATATTAAAAGTCAATTTAACAATTGATTTATTAAAATGTTAAGGGTTATTTATGCCAATACTTTAACAGAATAATTCTGTATCAGGTTCATTGGTTTAAGAAACAACAAACTATAAGGTTTAAAAAGTTTAAGAAAAACTTGGTCGAGCCTAAAAATATTTTCTCTTAAGTAAGTCAGTATTCATATAACAAGTATACTCAAAATGTTTGAAGATTTCATTTTTGGAAATGAAAATAATTGTTATCTTTCCATTTATAAGCTGTTGTAAATCTTTAAAACTCAACATTATTTCTGTGTGTGATTAATTTCACCTATAAAATCTGAATAGAGATTTTTCTAATGAGCATCATTAGCATGTTTAATTACTTTACTTTTCCTCATACTAACCCAGAATGTTTTAACAGTTAGTAATATTTTTTTTTATTTTGGATATAGACAGTATGGACTCTATGAAGTATTAAGTAGTGACTGTGGGCTAATTACGAATCAGTATGTCAAGATTTTATTTTTGTTTCTATCTCTTATCAAGATAATGAAACAGGTTAAGGAAAGATAAATGATTTTCTCATTGCTAATTCTTTTTATGGCAACTGTTTCCTTAACACTAGGAGCTGCTTAAAGATCCGTTGTACATTGGGCTGCGGCAGAGGAGAGTAAGAGGTCCTGAATATGACAATTTTTTGGATGAATTCATGGAGGCAGTTTCTTCCAAGTATGTAAAATCTTTATTTGAATTGAATTTCAAAAGTCTTGAAACCAAGCTACATATCTATTAAAATCTCCCAAGTTTGATTCAGCATGGTTTAATAGATTAGATATGAATGAAAGAAAACTATCCCCCTCCCCCACCTTTTATAACTTTTCCTGGCCTCCAAAGCTATCTCTGTTCTTTTCCCCAAAGGAGCCTTGTCTTTAGAAGAATCATTGTTGCTATGGAATACACGATGGCCTCCAGCCATACTACCCTGAACCCACAGATGGCATCTGAAATGCATGCTGATGGGAAATAGGGAACTGGCCAATGACAGTAAATATAAAAAGGAAGCTTTTTCCTTTTTTACACTTTGGCAGTCTGCACTTCTTTCTGGCTGCTGGTAACAAAAAAAAAAAAAATTATGCTCTTCATCCATGTGTGTGGCCGTTTTGTGGTAGGAGAAGGAAGAGGTAGGGACTGAGCCTGAGCTATACAGCCCCAGAGGCTGGGAGAGCCAGGCTGTCCCTCCCTCACAGTATATGCACCTCTGCTTAAATCTATAGGATTTGATTAACTATGCGACTGTATTATCATCTGCTGTTCTTAGCATTTGACTGTGGGCCTGTGGCACTCTTTCCAATTTTTTCCTTGAGGGGAGGTTCTGTGATAAGTTTAGTAATATACTCAGAGGGAATTTTGTCATGCCAGCCAACAATCATTCAGTTTGCTAGTGTGCAGCCATCAAACTATTATTGTTTAAAAATACATTTATATTTTGGTATTTTTTTGTAAATAACTGTATCATTAGGATCTCATGTGACTAGAGTTGTCATTTTATTTCTTATATAGTTGTAACCAATAGAATAAAACACTTTTTCTCATCAGTCTGCACAATATTTAAATACATTGAATTGTTCACCATGGGATTTCATGCAGAGTATACTTTTAAATCTGTACAGACTACTTTAAAAAGGACATGTTTGATTAGTTTTTTTCTGACCTATCTATTAAGCTATACTTAGACATAGAAGTAGTTGAGAAACTTAAGATCAAAATTATGTAATATTCATTTTTACTTATTTATTCACATGTGATTTTAAATACTTTATCCTGAAATCTTATATAAGGTTGTGATTATCAACTTTCTAAACAGCATAAATGAGAGATTGTTTAGGTAGTGCCATAAAGCCACCTAAAAGAAAAGGAAATGAAACTCACAACTTATTTTGCTTTACTCTTAGTTTGTGTATTTAAATTCTACCTAAATAAGATAAACTTACTATATTTACAGGGAATTTATTAAGCAAGCTGTAAGCTCCTAAATGATGATGCATAGACAAAAAAATTGTATGGAGACAATTTCTGAAGACATTGAGATAGGTACCAAGTTAAAATAATCTTTTTCAATGCAGGATCAGGAAAAAAAACTTTATATTTTTAATATTAAATTGGGGGATGTTGTTGGATGTTTCCTGTCCTACCCATCAGTTTCTGTAGCTGCTTATAAAATAATACTCTGAGGCTTAATATTAATTATAATTATTTGTCCAGTTGCTCAGGCTTATTACTCGCTAGCTCTCTTTTATAAATTAACCATATTTACTATCTGTGTATTACCACATGACTGTGGCTTACTGGTAATATTCTGGCACCTTACTTCTGCAGCCGCTCCATGGTATCTCCTAGACTCTACCTTCTTTCTCTTCACACATCTTTGTTTGGATTTCCCTTCATGTTCTATTTTGCCTGGTCATTGGTCAAAACAGCTTTATTCATTAACCAATAAAAGCAACACATATTGGCAGCCTATAGAAGGACATCCCATACCAGGGGGATTATGGGGCTGGAGAGACCTTCCAAAGGGCCAAGGTTCAATTTCCAAGTGTCAGCTAACAACTGTCTGTAACTCTAGTTCCACAAAATTTGATACCCTCAGGCAGACATACACACAAGCAAATTTTTGGGAATTACTTAGGATATATGAAAAGAAAATGTGGACTAATAGGCTCACCAGTAATTTTTAATGTAGAAAACATCCATAGTCAGGCATGCTTACTCATGCCTATAATCCTAGGAATTTAGAAACCAAAGCAGGAGGATTGCTGTGAGTTCCAATTTGGGCTGCACTATATAATGAGACTGCTCAAAAGAAAAAAAGGGGGGGGCATTGAGGAGGCTATATCTGGAGGAAGTCTGGAGTTATACTTCTGGGTCCTTCCCAGAAAAAAAGTAACAAAGACTTAAAAAATATCATTTTGATATTGTCCCTTCAGAAGCTGTCTAGAAGTGAAACCAAGCATTACCCAATTAGGGCAATGCTTACATTCACAGTTGGGGTGTAACTCTTGCAGCTGGAGTTATCGGACGCCACACTGTGATGGAATGTGTTGAGTGCTTTTGAGACCAGTGCTTGTAGGAGGAAGAAGTAAGAAATAGACGTTAAGTAAGGGAGAAGCTGTACCGCACCATGGCCCCTACATACCTGGGGAGGTAGCGTTTGAGACCACACAATATGCTACTGAGATTGTTAGCAGCCATTAGTTTTGCCATGCCCTCCCCACCACCAAAACCATTCTGGCTTCTTAACTTACTATGTTGGCAGTGATGGGGTCTGTGGAGTGGCAATAAATCATCCTTCTTTGCTCAAGGACTTGTTGTGGATATTGGGACACACTTGCGAAGTATGAAATTAGAATGTCTCAACTGAGAAATCTTTCACAGGATAGATTTGTGTTCTCATTCCAACTTTTCTGAGCACCGGGTTGGGGCTCCATTCTTAATGCCCTTCATATTGCTTCTAAGAAGGGGAGGGAGTGGGAGCATCTGGTTGATGTTTTAGTTCTCCAGGGACCACTGTAGACTCTGGCCAAAGTCCTCCAAGCATCTGAGTGCTTCCCTCCAGTTATCTCATTAAGCATCGTAGATCCCTCCGAAGGACTGGGGACTGCCATGTATTCTTGCCAAAGTATTGAGAAGTCTTGCCTTCTGGAAACTAGGCCTCTTCTCCCTGTGACTTCTAGGTAAAAGGTTAGCTCAAGTTTGGAAATTGCACAAGCAATTGCAACTTTATTGCGTTAACTGCTTGCAATTGTGTAGCCATTTGTCTTTGATTTCTTTTGGTGGCAAACACTGAGTGGCAGACTCTAGCAAAGCTATAGCTGTTAGCGCTCATAATTGAGTGTCATTCTCACATACACACTCTTGTTGCCTCCCCCAAATGACAGCTGCACCCATCAGACTTCTTCCTGGAGTCCTGTCGCCCTTCTCACTGCTTATCTGTAAGCCTAGTTATATATTGTTTTCTGTTCATTCTGACCTGAGAGCCAGGAATAAGCTTTTTGTAATTTGGGGGCTTCTCATCAGCATGTTCCATGTGGCTTTGGTACTTGGTATGGTTGTGTGTATGTGTGTGTGTGTGTGTGAGAGAGAGAGAGAGAGAGAGAGAGAGAGAGAGAGAGAGAGAGAGAGAGAGAGAGAGAGATTGTTCTAGAACATAGTCATCTGATTTGTTTGTTTGTTTTGTTTTCTGTATATAGTTTGTACATTCCAGAACGCCCATCTCTGAGGCTAGTAATCCCCATTTCTGCCATCCATGGCAATGTTTCTGGCATTTCAGCCAAATTTGTATGAGCCATTGGTTTGTATAGGCATCTAGCAATCATCTTAATAGTTACTTTGTGCTGCTTCTGGAGATTCTTGATGGTTGTTACATTCTGCATCTGGTTGTTACATTCTGCATCTCAGGGAAGTGTCTGAAATCACTGCCTAACATTAGGGCCCAGTATCTTATCACCCTCAGAATTAAACTTATTTGTACTGTTCCTGACTAATACAAGCTATCTAAATCTGTTTCTCTGGTATACAGTTGCTCTCTTCCTTTCTGAGTCCTAGCATGCCCTGCATGGCTTCTGGTATGATATGATGCTCTTGCAGGCCTGAAAGGCATTTGGAGGAGATTCATGAATTGACGTGGGTTAGAGGGGTGCATGCTATCCCCTGGAGGGATTCCACAACAGTAATAAGAGAAAAGAAGACTGCTCTTGTAAGGTCATAAAATGGTGTTGACTCTGAGGAGTCAAGATTTGGGGAGATCATGCCAGACATCCCCCCCTCATGCAGTAAGAGCCCATCTACTCTACTAAGACTAATATAGCAGATTTGCCTACATGGGAATCTTGGATGCTCACTGCTGGCTAAGTGCCCTGTTCTTGTCTTCAAGATCTTCTAAGGAAACACAGAATCTAAAAGTCTCTTTGCATATGCAGTACACTGTTATTTGCCCTCATGTCTTGTGTTCTTTTAGTGTCAAAAAGTCTTTGAAGTAACATTCCAGTTAATGTTCTCTTCTACTGATATAGCAAGCAGGCCACTCAGAAGAGCATTTTACCAGTTGGACTGACACCTTGTGCCATGTACTACCAGTGACTGGATCCTTAAGGCCATCAGGGACTGATGTAGGTTAAAGAACCCATGTATCACTGAGCATCTTCATGACAGAATTCACTTTCTTCTGTGATCTCATACCCTCCTCACTTCTCACCAAGTGCTCTTTTGGACTTCCCTTGGATTTTTCCCTTTCCTTCTCCTGAAATGTCAATATAAACTAGTCATCTCTGCTTCTTGGTGATCTCATGTAATCAAAGATCTTTTTGTTTCTCACTCTCAAGTCTGTATTTCTAACTTGAACACCTTCTCTCAATTCCAGAATGTGTAATGAGCCTGCTTACTGGCATTTCTACCTGAATCTGTAGTAGACCAAGCTTGTATAATGTGTCTGATTGTGACACTTCCTCTTGCACCCACCCACAAGCCAGCTTCTGGGTTCACCTTTCCCTTCTCACTACATGACAACCTGTTCTTCCTGTTCCTCAGAATAAGAATTACAGTCCATACATAGCCTAGCTTTTGCAACTTCCATATATCCAGGATTTGATCATATTTTTTTTCATTGCCTGTTACTTAATCTCTCTTCTTGGGATTATTGTCGCTTCCTAGCTGGTTTTACTGCCTCTCCACTT